TTATGCTATACTGGAAAACCTGAAGGATGGATATCTATTCTCCGCCAAGTATGATAGTAAGACGAAACATTTCAAAAGTCCAAAAGTGGTATGTATGCCGAACTTTATGCCGGATGAAACTAAAATGTCAGCTGACCGCTATTGGAACTTTCAATTAATGAAGAAAGAAGACGAATACAAAATGATTATATGTTAAAATAAATTTATTGTTAATAATAAAATGAATGTTCAAGCCTCTCATTTTTTATAAATCAATAATGGCAGCTGGGCCCTTGATCTTCAGGAAAAAACCGTTAAATACTCCATGGCAGCTGAACCCTAACACAGATCGCCTCCGCTCTCCGGGACTCCGGCTCGTGGTGTGGCCCCTCGTCTGGCAGCTAATTGACAGTGTCATAGCCCTCTAAAACTTCAAAACCTTCAGGAGTAGCAGCAGAATAAAGATCATCTTTAGCTGTATAGATCTGGCCATCTCTACGACCTTTCCAAGAAAGCCCAACACTGTAGTACCCTTCAACAAAGGTATTAGGAGAACCTTTAAGGGTATAGATGATACCATTCATAGAAGAAGCTGGAGAAGCACCATGGGTAAAATAGGCAGCATCAATCCAAGGTGAAAGAGATTTACCACCAATAGCTACAGATTTAGCAGCAGAAAGCTTAGGCTGGAACTTGGGGTACATCCTAAGCTTGTACTTCTTTCCATTACGAATTAAACGTTCACGAGTATTGGGGCAACAGTTCTGGTTATCAATAGACATGGTACGACCTTGAGCATCTGGATCGTAATAAAATCTTAATAAAAGTGACATTAAAGATGGCATTCTACGGTAAAAGACGTGTTTTTAACCGAAGGCGTTTTTATGCTAAGAAAAGATACTTTAACCGTCGTCGGAGGAATTTTTTTAGACGGAGACGTGCTCCTGTTCGAAGAAGGACTTATAGGAGAAGAGGTAACTTTATGAAGAGAATATATAAAGGAATTGTTCACTCTGAACATAAGGCTTCACATGAGTTTAATCTTGGAGCCAAAGGAGTTTATACATCCAATCTCTGCTGGAATTGGCACACTTTTCTTACTGGATCTATTAAGAGTCAGACTTCATCTTACTTGAATCTTTTTGACGAAGTGAAGATTCGTCACGTCACCCTGGTTAGCAATGTTCCGAGGTCTGTTGCCAATAGTACTAGTACTGTCAACAAGAAAACAGACTTTGTACCTGCTACCACTTTATTATCTACAAATAACAGAGTGGATGATGGAGGTTTTTTTTACACCCAAAAATAGCGCAAAGAAGCGGTCATCATCCGAATCTGAAAATGTTTCTAATGCTATTGCTAACTCTTCCTCTTTGAGTTCTCGAACCAAAAAAGTTGCTTTACAGCCACCATCACCACCACCTAGAAAAGAAAAAAAGAAATCAGATAATAATAATAATAGTAATAATAATAAAAATAATAATAACAACAATAATAAATTAAAGTCTGATGCTGCTGGGGCTAACACCCCTTCAGCAATTCCTATTGTTACTCCTGAAGTAAAACAAGGCAAAATATCTTTATGTAAAGAACCCCCTCAGGACAGGGAATCCACTGCGACCCTGGCGGAATCCATGGACGCCATTGAAAACATCGCAGATACCCAGCTTCTTAACGAGATGCTGGGTAGCATGACTCCCTGTCGATCCACCGACGGGGAGGGTTTCGGTTCGGAGGAGGAATGAAACAGTTTTGGTAATACGATCTTTATGTTTATTATGAAGATTTTTAAAACATGTGGGGAAATCAATGGTAGGATTGTCCCCAACAACAGAAGGAATAGAAACGATATCCAGTAAAAGTACCTGATATATAAATTTAGTTGTTAATTTTTTAAAATCTACATTAATGTTATTCCTATGGGCTATATTTAAGAATAATAAAAAATTGGAATAACAATATTGATAAAATTTAGGCATATAAAAAGCATGAGGTTGAAGATTAGAAAATAATGAAGAATTGTATTCTCTTAATTGCAGGCCAAGCCAGAACTTAAACCATGAAAACCATTTGACATCCCTACCTAAAATACCATTAACAACGTGCATTATACGAATAGATTTTAATTTAGAAGAGATGTGAATGATTCCAGAACCACCGTGAAGCTTACTGGAATACATTACATCCCTTCTTACCGGTTCATTTTTTGATGGCCAAATGAAATTAAAACAGAGACGTTGAACTTTATCTATAAAATTAACTGGAGGAAGTATAATGGAGCACACATACCACAATTTGGACAATGCCATTACGTTACAAATGGTGGATCTGCCGAAAACAGAAAGTGATCTATATTTATATAAGTTTAACGACTTTTCTATTTTATTAAAAACATTATCCCAAAAGGATGGCACATTACCAAAAGGGATCCCCATCAACTTACTGCCATCAATCCAGCTTATGCCGAAAGGATGGTCCGATCGGCTAGCCCATTTACCAAAGAAGATACCTTTAGACTTGGATAAATTAAGTTTGGCCCCAGATGCTCTACCGTAGAGCCCACAGATGTCAAAAACTCTCTGGATAGAAGCATCTGAAGCACAAATTATAGTCGTGTCATCGGCATAAGTTGATAATTTGGCAGAGATTGATTTGGAGCCTGGAATGGTGATGCCCACCACTCGAGGGTCATTCCGTACTTTAATTAGGAATGG